TAATCCCACAACTAGAAGCAGCCAACCAATAGCATGTTGTTAATCAATAATTCTGGAATAACCTTGAAAACCATCAATACTAAGAAAAACCATATTAAATACTAAGAAAAAACCATCAAAATTTGTTCAGTCTACATGTATGCCAGGAAGATTTTAAGCTGTTTTAAAATCAAAAGGAGGTCACACAAATATCAATATAATATTCACTTGGCTAATATAGTATAATCAATTCCAACTGTAGTGTATATCCTTATTTGTTGCACATATAGTAGTGTGTTGTGTCAAAATGTATTGTATATCAATATAAAAAGGCAAGATCATATTGACTGGACTCAGACTTTTGACCAGTGGCATATAAGGTGGCTTTTCAAGGTGACTTTTCCAACTTATTTAACTCCGAGGAGAAATGTGTGGGAAAATAATTTTCAGAATTGTCCAAGATTTCACTCCCAAAATGCTTGAAATCGCATTTCAGGGGATCTAGATTTTAAAATTTTCTTGGGGGTGCATGCCCCCGAACCCCCCCCCCAAGACGGTCTCATGCCTTGCATGAGTTTGCCCCTCCCCCCCTCCAAAATGAAGGTCTGCGTAGTACGCCACTGCTTTTGACCCCCACTGTATAACGATGAACTACTTGTAATGTGCAAGCCAGGAGAATCAAATGCGAAGTCCTTTGTCGTTATATTTTCTCCTTTTATAACAATCCTTTTATAACAATCCTTTTATTTGACAAATCAACTTCCATATCATCCTCCAAAATTATCAATCACAAAGATCAACCCATCTTCTCCAAGTAAAACAACATGATCTAGCAGCATGCGTTCGCAAAGCACGTTGGGCTGTGACAATGACAATATTTCTAAGGGGCGGGATTACAGTTGGCGCGCAATAGATAGAAGTCGTTTAATGCGTGCCATGCACTTCGTTGCCATTGTTGTTTTTGCTAAATAAAGTTGTCGATAACTATGTCCATAGTGAAAGTTAATTATTTACGACTATTATGCTGCAAAGAGAGCAACGCTCGTTTTTATGATAGAAGAAAATCTAATGAGTTTCTCGTACGATGGATTCGAAACATGCACGTCTTACAACCGAAGTTGACGACACGGAAGTTGATTTCTCGTCGTCTTACTTCAACTTTCAAATAAAAGGATTGTTAGAGAAGGAGAAAAATATCACGATAAAGGCCTTCGCATTTGCTTCTCCTGACTTGCACATTACAAATATAGTTCATCGCTACATCAACAAAATCTAAAATTTGATTTCGTCTACAATATTACATCTCTTTTTGCAGAAATGGGCTTTCCGTTTTGAAAACAACGGCCTTTCTTGTTTATCCGCCACATTTCTCTAAATCCAACTGTAATCCCGCCCCTTTGGCTCTAGAATTTACGGTCAAACGGAGTCCGCTGTGGAATATGAAATGGTTCTCTGACTGCATGCATGCGTGTAAATATTTATTTTCACAAGTTTTGGCTATATGATTTGATAGCCTTCGACGAGTAAATATTGTAGAAATATTTACAGTCAGAGAGGTTTCGTGTGACGTTTTTTTCAAGCACGTTTTGAATGGTTTAATGGCGAAATGGAAAGCAATTTTGATCATTTTAACCAATTTAAATGTTTAACCAATTTTAATTTGGTCATTTGAAATTGGTTAAAATGACCAAAAAATATTGGTCGTTTGAATGCGTCTGAGACAACCAGTTTAAATTGGTCTTTTTAACCAAATAATTAATTGGTCAAATTGACCATTTATTTATTGGTCAAAACAACCAATTATTTCCGGTTGTTTTGACCAAAAAATAATTGGTCAATTTGACCAATTAAATAATTGGTCAATTTGACCAATTACTTTTTTGGTTAAAACGACCAATTTAAACTGGTTGTCTCAGACGCATTCAAACGACCAATTTTTTTTGGTCATTTTAACCAATTTGTTTTTACTGTGTGCGTTAAAGCGCAACGTGCAATGCATATAATTTTTAAAGTGGGCATTTTCTCAGCAATCGGTTTTAGACAACCGGAAATATAGACAATTCTACCGATTCCGATTATCTACCGATGAGGCAAAATCGGCCCGGTGCCGATTATCAGTCAATCAGTAGGGATACAATTACCTAAAAAAATAGAAGGAGAACTTCGAGGTTCAAGTTAACTTCCCGAACGGCTTTCGCTCGAAACATCGAAGGACCCCTCCCCCGGTACGTTTTTCAAACAAGAAATAGGAAACCCAGTCTAGTTTTCTTTTACCTGATCGGCAAAAGAAATAGCACAGCAATGAATAATATAAAAGTTAGATAAACTTATATACAAAAAGCTTGCAGCCAACTCACCAAATGATTCCCACGGACTACTACTCGTCTCAACTCTTGTTTGAGACCTATAAAGAGAGAAATATGGGCTTAGCCAGAGGCACATCCACCCGTCATTTGGACGTGTATTTTTGAATGTGGACGCGGGCAAACAATTGTTAAAACTCCAGAACGAACACTAACGAAAACGTCGGCGATTATAGTGAGGTCAACCATCCTGTTTGCTCTTCAGTTTTGAGTGCAGTTTTGCACGTGTTTTTTTATTGCTAAGAATCACGTTTTTAGAAGATGAAGATCTGATTTCAAAATTATTCCAAGCGAAACACAATTGGGGGGAGGGGGCAGAACTGGCCCAGCACTTTTGGACGGGTAGATTGCTAATCCTGGCTACAGTAGGTCCCTGCGGCTCTCCATCGTAAATCTTGGCTGTATGCACACGCACAATGGGTGGATATGGCCACGATTATATAGCCAGTGTTTTATAGCATTTCTTTGGAGAGCCATACGGGAGCTGTCGTTTTATGGACGGTATCTCAACTGTATCTGAAGGTGTTAGTTATACCAGTTTATGGAATATAGTTGCATAATAACGCAGTATATATACAATCAAGGAGTATTAGGATACTGACCGGTTACTCTATTACCATCGTGGCTATAAACAGTACAGACGTAGCCAGCCCGACGAATTGGTCCCGCTATGCAAATTTCAACTCATTATCATTATTCATTTCTTCAAAAATTGATTGTTTGATAGTTTATAAACATGTCAATATTTACATAGTGGGATTGAATCGTCGGGCTAGTTACGCCACTGGCTATAAATTAGGCATATTTCGGCATATCTTATAGCCACGGTTTGTGGCTATAGGTCTGCGGCTATAATACTCTAAAGTCTAAACTCGGAATCAATTTACTCCACAATTACGGAAATCAAACCTGTGTTTCCCGATTGGCCGGTTCGGCTGCACGGATTTTTTTTATATATAATTAAAAATCTCATTAATAATTCACGAGGAAAATACAAAAGAAATTAATGTTTCATCAATGTTTGCAAATCGGATAAAGATTTGTCCTGATTTACACAAACTTCAGCTTTGATTTTCTCGGCTTAGACAATGTTTATTTTTAAAATTACTTCGCCAATGAGCTCATAAGATGGGTCGTTTTTTAAGCACGTTAAAACATTCGCATCCGATCTTTATCAGATATACATGCAAGTTGTATATCAGATAAAGATCGGTTGCTCATGTTTTAACTAGTACTTATATGAAAAATTAATATCTTACCCTTGAAGATTTACAATAAGATCTTCTTCACTTCCTTCCTAAAAGGCATCATCAAAGTGCATTAAGAAAGTACGTTAATAAAGTGCATCATCAATAAAGTGCATCATTAAAGCATGGGCGGATTTACTGGGGGTTAGTGGGGGTTAAACCCCCCCCCCCC